TCCTGATGAGTCGGTGAAACTCCGACGAAACAGTTTGTCACAGCCCCTCGTTTGTTGTCCTCTTCTCCCTCTCTGCCTACGGTTTACCGGGCAGTTCTATTTGACGATATATATATATAGAGAGAGAGAGTTGTAGGGCAGCCGTTGATGCCTAACCACAGCCGGGGTTAAGGTGGATTATAACTTCAGTTAGGGGATTCTGCAGACTGTTGAGAGCCTCCTGATGAGTCGGTGAAACTCCGACGAAACAGTTTGTGACAGCCCCTCGTTTGTTGTCCTCTTCTCCCTCTCTGCCTACGGTTTATCGGGCAGCCCTGTTTGTATATATACATATATATAACTCCGACGAAACAGTTTGTCACAGCCCCTCGTTTGTTGTCCTCTTCTCTCTCTCTGCCTACGGTTTACCGGGCAGTTCTGTTTGTGACGATATATATATATATATATATAGGACAACAAACGAGGTGTATATATATATATATACAGGGTAACCGGCGTTCGGGACCGGCGGAATGCACGAACCCGAACGCCCGAATGTACAGAACCCCTTGGGGATGCGTTCGGCCGTTCGGGCCGAACGCGTACCCAAAAAAAAAAAAAAAAAAAAAAAAAAAAAAATCTGAAAAAAAGATATGTTATGGAGAAAAATAAAATAAACAACATTTGCCTGAGCATTACATCCAAATTCCTTACCAATTTGGAAATGAAAAAAAAATACAAAAAATAGAATTAATAATAAAAATAAGATAAACTAAAAAGAGAAATAAAATTAGTGAGTGAGCGAGCACGTTTTCGATACTGCCATGTTTGGCAATTTTTCATTTTTTTCTGGCAGATCCAAATGCCCTGAAAATTTACAGATGTGTACTTCACATTTTACAAAACGCATCAAAAAAGTTTCAAAAAATAATAAAATGTTTAGGCCTCGCAATAAAGTGAAAACAAAAAATAAAAAGTGAAAAAAAACATAATAGTGAGTGGGCGAGCACGTTTTGACACCTCCATCGTTGGCGATTTTTAATTTTTGTTTGGCTTCGCCAAATGACTTCAAAATTTATAGGCGTGTACCTCACATCATAGAGAACTCACAAAAAAAGAAACTTATTTTTAGGCCCAAAAATATTTTTCGGCGGGGGCCGAACGCCGTCACGTTCTGACCCCGTACGGGACCCCGAACGCCCGTACGCACGAAGGTCAGCCCGGGGACCTCCGTACGTGCGGGCTGGTGACCCTGTATATATGTATAAATATCGTCACAAATAGAACTGCCCGGTAAACCGTAGGCAGAGAGAGAGAAGAGGACAACAAACGAGGGGCTGTGACAAACTGTTTCGTCGGAGTTTCACCGACTCATCAGGAGGTATATATATATCTATTTGACGATATATATATGTACCTCGTTTGTTGTCCTCTTCTCTCTCTCTGCCTACGGTTTACCGGGCAGTTCTGTTTGT